CTTTAAATTGTAACAAAACAACAACTATTGTAATAAATTTATTGAAAAATAAAAAAATAATAATATAATTATATATATATATATATATATATATATATATATATATATATAATACATATATATATATATAATTTTAAAATATACACATTTATCAAATATATATTGTATATGTATTAAATAGCAATTTTCAGGTAAAACAGAACAACAGAAAAAATCCCTATTTTATGTGAAGCCACTTACAGCAAAAAATCAAATTTGTATGTTAAGACAAAGATTTTACACAATAAGGATCATATATACACACTTAAATATATATATCTATATATTATAGTTATTATTTGTAATTATAAATATTCATAGCAAAACAAAACAAAAAAACAGCAAGAAACCAAATAACTTAAGAAATACAAAGTTTAGATACTTTGACTATATGCATAATAAAAACTTTTATGTAATTTTCCTATTTATATTCATAGTATTCAAATATATATGAATAAAAATATATACAAAAAATATTTTATTTGTATATAGTATATATATATATATGTGTATATCTATTTATATTTATGTATATCTATATATATATATCTATCTAGCTATCTATCTATATATATATATCTATATATGCATATATATATGTATATATGTATGTATATATATAGAACAAACTGAACAATGAATATATTAAAATATTTATCTCTGAAATTTTACATGTATGTTAAAAACATGAAAAAAAATAAAAAAATAATTTTATTTTATGATAAAACTTTTGCTATCTTTTATTACTATAAAAAAAAAATTAATAAAAACAAATACATATATATATATATATACATATATATATATAAATACATATATATATATTGTAACAAAAAAACTGCATATATTTAGCATTTGAAATTAAAAACTTATATATAAAAATAAAAAAATTATTTATAAACTTAAGTTATGCATTTGCTATATGAATGCATATGTTTAATTTCAATTAATAAAAATAAAAAAATATATACACATACCATATAAATATAAATATAATAAATTTACATAACTCTTTAGTTTCAATGTTTTATTGCTGGAATTTAATTGTAAAATAATAAAAAAATGTTCATTTATAACATACATCCATATTATAAGAATCATATATATATATATATATACATATATATATATATACATATAAATATAACATATATAATAAAAAAAAATTGAAATGTGTATTGTTCCGTATTATTGCAATAAAATTAATAAAATCATATATATTATTGACTTTAAAATTTAAAATGTGTTTTTTTTCCTACTGATACGAGTATATGCATTTATATTTAAAATAAATAGACCTACCAATGGTGTAAATAGTTTTGATAGTATTGTGGTTGTAGCTCGTACGAGAGATTTACTAGTTGGGCTCGTGACGGAAGTGGTATGAAGTGTTCGATCGTCAATGTACATTTCGTGTATTAAAATGAAAGTATTTATAGCACGGTTGCCACTTGAAAATTTTTTTCTGTACCAAAATTGGTTTAAATAGGTACCATTTCTGTAAAAAAAGGTCCAAAATTTTTCTATTGTCTTTTTATAAGAAAATACAATTTATATAAAATGTACAAAAAGTATAAAACAATACAATATCCACAATAAAGTTGGGTCGCCGAAAAATGTACCATTTTTTGAACATGAGTACCAGAGTACCAAACGGAAAAAAAAGTACCAATTTTGGTACTAAAGTACCATAAGTGGCAACCGTGATTTATAGTTAAAAGCAGGGCTTCGAACCGGAACCGAAACGAAAACCGAAAAAACACGATATTTTTATCGGAGCAAAATACCGTAAGCGAACCGATATATTTTTTTTTGTTTAAAACCGGAACTGAAAAAATTCGAGGCTTCGAACCGAAACCGATATTTTTGTTAGAGCGAAAACCGAAACCGAGACGATATATTTTTTTTTATTTTGAACCGAAACGGAAAAAATTCCGGTTCGAAGCCCTGCTTAAAAGTGTTGTTGTTATAACCTAAAGATAAGTATAGAACAGAAAACATAAATTAATTAGAAGGCGAATGCATATGTTAGAGGAAGTTGTATAAGAAGAAGAAGGATGTTGAGCATAAGCATTTTTTATTTTTCTAGATTATTGATTTAACTATAACTCTTTCAAATAGTCTGATGAAATTCTTTTGCAGTATTGATCAATATGTTAGTATCTAATACTATAGTACATATTCAGTTATATGTATCACAACTAATGATAATAGTCAAATGTGAACATTAGTGTAAATACTTGATTCTTTAAGTACGCCTTGGATTATCTGCTTTTTGGCTCAATCATATCTTTATCACTATCATCATCGGTAATACCTATAACTGAATTCTACCGAGCTTAGTTTTGGTTGTTGTTGTATTAGTCCGCGAAGATCTATATAGCAGGAGACGTGAAAGGAATTATTAAAAACGAATACATGGACTAAGATATGGGTTTTAGTAACGGGTGAGTGAGAAGAAATAGGGTTGTTTGGAATAAGAAATAAATGAAATTGTATATGGGTGCTTTTTAATTGAAATTAGACTGGGTTAAGGCGAGGAAATTTAATATTATGGAGCAAGAGATTAACGTCTAGTATGAGTTAGATGGAGTACAGTTTATGGTTGTATCGAAAATTGCACTTCTTCAAATATGCAACCTGGGAAAGAACTGAATCGATAAGTTATATGTACTCAAATATGTCGATAATTACATGTAGTTTGCACTAAAAATCGATCACGGTGTTCATATTGGCTTCTGAATTATTTCTATAACTATTTTATCAATTACAACAGCTAGCATTGATCGATTATTTTCTATCATGAAAAATAACAAAATTTTTTCTAAGATTTGTATTTGTAATAGGCCATGATAGATCTAGAAAGTATCTAGAAAATCGCGAAAATATTTTGGCATTAAACCTTCAAACGTTTTTTGCAGAACATTTTTGGTTATTGGCTTTTGGCCTGTGAATTCTGCGTAGAAATTTTCTGTCAAAAGCAGCTAAGAAGTTAGAGCATTTTCAGTTAAGCAACCAAGGTTGGACCTATACATGAGTACTAATAGGTGCATTGTCTTATAAACCAATAGCTTGTGTATTATGGTAAAGATTCTGGACTTAAAGAGTTTTAAGAGTTCTTTTATTGTATTTCTATATCCTGGCTGTTATGAGCTACTACAATTGATCCAAGGTAATACAATTGACCTTGATTATTTGACCAGTTGGAAAAATTATTATCCATTGCAGACGATGCGAGCATGTTCTTCGTCTTTTCATCGTTAATGTGTACCCACTTTCTTTGTATCACGTCCTTTCTGCATTAATTTTTCTTCTATAACTCATTTGCATATCCCAAACATTTTAATATTGTGTACCAATATCTGTCTGGACTTCGTGACTAAAATTCCTCAGTTAAATTTTAGTTTCGGATTGCTTTATCCAACGTCAGATTACAAAAGAGGCATCAAACTGATATTAGATAAAGCGATAAGATGGTTAGATCATATTCTTGTAGAAGTCCATTAAAGATGTTTACTGATTTGGATAGCAAACTGATCAATTTTACCTTTTAAAACAAAATTTCCTCCAGTGTCAACTATATTCTTAATTAGGAAACCGATATATGAAGTTATTAAAACAATAATTTAATAAATAATTATTTATATTAGCTTTATTTTTACGTATATAACATCAATGGCATATGCTTTAAATATATAGAAAAAAATATATATAAAATCTTAAATATACTGTACATAACGAAAAATGTGTGTTTTTCGTTTTTAGAATCTTAATTATTAAAATTTATATAATATTTTACTAATGCTTTCACAAAGCATAAAGATAATTGAATATAATATATGTATATCGCTTAATTTAATTTTTTTATTTATTAAACGCTGGGAAGAACATCAAAAGTTATTGTTCCCAAAATGATTTGTTCTCTATCTAGTAGGTCAATTTCTCTGATAAAAAACATTTACAAAAGTATTTGTTTAGAATGTTAATGAATAAAAAATTTGAAAATAATATTTAAGATAATATATATAACTTAATATTACAATATTTAATAATCACTGTTTATCAATATTAAAATATTGTTTTATAAAAAATAATAAAACAAATATATAAATTTAATTTTATTTTAAGAAATTTAAATTTGCAATACATTATTAATTATCTAATATATTTTTAATTTTTTAAAACAAAAATTATTACTTGGATGGAATATCGAAATCGTTTCACGAAAAATATATTATTAACTAATGCGATATATAATTTTTGTTTAACAAGATTTTGGTTACTTTTTTCATATATATAATTAAACATTATACAAAAAATGTTATGCACACAATTTTAATAAGAATTCATTTATAAACATTTTAAAATGATTTTATAATATATAGAATTAATTTATTTTTGTAAGTTTATTTATATTTTAATCGCTATATTCGTTTACATTCCATTATTTAATTAGCTTAAAAACTAAATTTAAATTAATATTTTTGGTTACTTTAAACACACATTAAATATAAGTACAGCAATATGATATCTTAGTACGTATATATTAGAGATTCTTAAAATAATCACCTTACGTATTTATTTATATATTTATATATATATAATATATATATATATATATATTACACATAATGCATATCTTATTATAAAATAAAATGCAATGCTTAAAAATTTTTTTTTTTTAAAAAGTAATAACAATTTTAGCTAACATTAATAACAATTATGATACATAAGGAATGTTTTATTATTAATATAAATTCAGTCAATCCACAATATTTTAGTCTTTTATATTCAAGAAAAGTAAACTAAGATTTTAGTTGTATTTGTAAATATGTACGAGTATTTAATATCAAATTATGTTAAGCACAGTTTTTTTTTTCTAAAGTTTGTTTTTAAATTTATAAACATTCGTAAAGGTGTAAATTAATTATATAGAAATTGTTTCTTCTGGCTGTTTAAATCAAAATTAAAAAAAAATATAATTAATGGCTTGTTCTATAGCAACTAATTTCTTTATAACAATACGAGTATATTCGTAAGTTACTTAACATATTTTAATTTATAATAAGCTAAATGATAAATATAGAAATACATAACATTATCTTTAAGGCCTAAAATTGGAGAGATTGATGTTAAAGCACCCATAATAAATAGTGCTTAATAGATTGAAAATAACATGGTTCTTGATACATAAATATTTAAAAAGGAACTGGATAGGAACATACTAAATTGAAAAGGAAATGCACTTAACAAAATAAACTGTGGAAAAAGTGGGTACTCGTATACCTATTCGTTACATTTATGCTTATTTTACCCTAAAGGCTTAGTTTGTAATTTGGCCATATTCGCGAGTTGTGTGGGAGTAACATATCCACCAATTGCATTATGGTTACTACTATAATTGTAGTTGTTGTTATTATTATATTGAATATCTGCCATTTTATTCGCTTCATTTGTTGTTTCTACATCTTGTTGTAAAGCCGTTAATTGCACATATGGGGATGGGTTTGTTGTCATACTATCCTCATTTAATTTATCTGGTGTGTGCTTTTCAAGCGCTTCCAATGTTGTATAACCATCAGTTGGTAACTGTTGTGATATTTGATTTTGTAGTTGTAATTGTTTCGCTGGATCTTGAAACTGTAATAAATATTACAGTTTAGAGTATAACAAATTTAAAAGATAATATTAATTTAATTCTTACCATGAGAATTGTATTAGGTCGTACATAACCATTTGGTATTAAGCTGGGCTCATTAAATGTATCTAGTGTTTGCTGTTTAATATCATTAGGAGACTCATGATCTACTTGCCAATTGTCCTGCATTTGTTGATATTCGCTTGATTCCATAGAGGAATTGCCAGATGACTGGCATTGGTATGTTATTTTACTAAAATCATTTATGTCAACTGAATCTGAGCTACATGAATTTATATTGTTACTTTTTGAAGGCAATGAAGGTGTTTCTAACTGTTCGTAATTAGATGTTTTGCTACTGTTTGGTGTTAATGACGCTAGTGAATCGGAAAACTGTCTATCGAGTAGGAAACGATTTTCTTTGTGAAACTTTGGCACTAAACAATCATTACTGCCAGATATTTGTCGATTACTTTTATCTATTTTACTATCGTAACTTATTACACCTTTATCACAGCCAAAATTGCTATTGGGTATATGATCTTCTAATCCTTGTGGTAAAATTGGTTTTATATTATTCCATTTTAAGCACTTCTTATATACCATGAAGAAAGAGAATATGAAGCATAAACCAAAAATAACTGATATGAAAATATAAAAAATTTTAAATGGAGGTGTACAACCATTTGCGTGCAACATTTTACCATCTACCCAAATTGAGCGTATGAAAATGTATTCTTCGGTGCCATCCATTTTGTCAAATGCATTTAATGTATCTACGTAATTTTTATATCTTCTATCTATATTTTTTGAATTTAAGCATTCATAATTGGTAGATGGTTTTCCAATTTGTGGTGTGCTGTACTTTTCTGGTTTATTTGTGATGGAGTCAAATGTTTGTATATTACCGAATACATTGCTTTTGATTGCTGGATTTGTTTCTCTACTATGTCTCGCATTTCCTATGATTGAAAAAGTTGTACGATCGATTTCATCCTTTGCAGCAATATTCACTGCACGTACTTTCATTTTCCACGTTTTAGTACAAGGTGGAGTATGAAATTCGCACCTATTGCCGTTAACGTAGTAGAACGCTTCGTTTTCTTCGTAAGAATTGTTATATTGCGTTATCATACTAACGACATAGAATTCTACACGCCCGGATGGTAATTTTGGTGGACTCCATATAATTTCACTAGTAGTGTCCCCGATAGTAATATTTACATCCTCTGGTTTGTCAGGCACTACAAAGTAAAACAACCGTAAAATTTATTACAAAAAATACTCATATGTATATAATAAATGTTGAAATTACAAAATACTGAAACTGACTACAAGACCTTTGATAAGACCTTAAAGACAACCACGTACTACGCATTTGACTAAGTCCTAATAAAGTGGCCAGGTTTCTCCAGTTTGACACAAGTTGAGTTCAATGAAAATCCCGCCCATTCATAAAACGTTTTTGATCCGAAGCAATCTCCTTTCCTCTCACACTACCTTTACCTAACCACATCCTAACCCATGTATATGTATTTGTAATATTTTTTATGTCATCTGATCTCAGCTGTTTACAATAATAACAACCACCAATAACAGCTACAATTTTTGCTCTCTACCGTCAACAACTGACCACAACATTATAACAGTGCTGCTGTTTCATTTGTGCCACCACCACATTAGTTGTCCAACATGAATGTTGAAACTATTCTTCTTGATGTATATAGTATTGCCGCAAGGAGTGCCCATGTGGCATATGTAGGGTTGAGTTATTGTGGCAGCCGTTCTAGCTGGTCAACCTACTTAGATTTTACCCTTGCCCTTGCTTTATATGTGACCTTAGCTGATTTTAAATATGGAACCAGAAAACATGATGTTGTTAATTTTAGAATTGGACACTTTCATAAAAATGTAAATAAGACAATTGCCCAGGAAATTCGTTTTGCTAATAGCGGGAATAGGACAGATAGAAAAGTATTCGACTGTTTCATACTCTTCCACTATTCATGAGTAGATGTTTCTAGATTGAGAGCACTGCTGCCAAATCGCAAGTGACAAGTCCCACTTTTCTAGTTATGTATTGAGTCCATAACGTAAGAACTATGCCAACTTTTTTGAAACATTGATCTCAAAGAAAGACCCCAGAATATTTTTCTCAACATGACTTAAAAGATCAATGGCAGTTAGAAGAAATAAATGGTAAACTTATATAGAAACCCTAAGCTTCTGCTAGTAATGTGGACAATATAATAATAATTATAATACATATAATTATTTATACATAAAGTATAAGTTTATTTGTTATGCTTATCTTTATATTGTCATGTTAAAGAATATATGTATACATTGTGACCGAAAGGTTTTCGGAGGTTCTCATTTAAAATTCGCGCGCTGTATATTTTTCGATATTTTAAGTTTATGTAGTTTGGCAGCACTGTCCTTAATTACTATGCCAAAAATGAGCGCGATCTGTCAGACAGTTCGTTTACGGCAGCTGTTGAAACCAGTTCACCTCAGTAGTGCGTTGCGAAAAAAACAATGGAAAAAAATATTGAACAAAGAGTTTGCATCAAATTTTGTTTTTCGAACGAAATTTCGTGTGCAGAATCGTTGCGAATGCTACAAAAGGCTTATGGGGAATCAGTTTTATCGAAAACTCAAGTTTATGAGTGGTACAAAGCCTTTCAGGACTGTCGTACGACCGTCGAAGACATGCCGCGTTCTGGACGACCTTCGACCTCTACCACCGACGAAAACATTGAAAAGGCAAAGGAAATCGTGTTCAAAAATCCTCATGTGAGTGTTAGAGAGATAGCACGAGAGCTAGGCATCGGTCGTGAGATGGCTCGTTTGATTTTGGTGGACAATTTGTGTATGCGACGTGTCAACGCCCGGCTTGTTCCGATTCACCTCAATTTGTTCAACATTATCAACGATTTTAAGGCCAAACATTCAATAAATACCATCGAACAGCCACCGTATTCACCTGATCTTGCACCGTGTGACTTTTTCCTGTTTCCCAACCTCAAATTACCACTCAGAGGAACGCGTTTTGAATCCATAGAAGACGTAAAACAGAATTCGCAGAGGGAACTCAAAGCCATACCGGAAAGCGCCTATAAAAAATGTTTTGATGATTGGAAGAAACGTTGGCATTTGTGTATCGCTTCTAATGGAGCATATTTTGAAGGAGATAAAATAAATATTGATGAAGATTAAGAATTTTGCGTTTTATTTATTTATGACCGGAAACTTTTCGGTCACAATGTATAATTATATGTATATTAGCTTAATTTTTTAGAAGAATATTTGTCTGATGTACTTTATCTGCTATATTTGTAAACTACTGATGACATTTTAAAATTAAGAGCAAGCAGATAAAAAAAGAAAAACACAGTTAAAGAAATTAAGAAATAATAGATATGGTAAATATATTCTGCTTTATGTTCCATATAAAACCAATAATGTATTTATAATTTATTTATTATGAATTCTTAGAAACGGGACTTATAGATTAGTACATACAGTAATGAATTATGTATTTGGAGACAGATTGGCCCATAAATAGCTAACCTTTAGTTAGTATATGATATATAAAAGAATGATATATATCCTACTAAATTTTTAATTTGTAACCTTCTAATTCATTGTAATAAAATCGATTATTAAGTCATTAATTTAGTTTATACTTACCCCCAATTAGAGTTTTGAATCTCACACTATTACTTGCTACAGAATTATTAACTGTGTATGCTGTTACATTAGCTTCATATTCAGTATAACTATTCAGGCTTCCTAAAGTAAAATTGATACGACGATCATGATCGTTATTAGTTGTATTTACATTTTCATAGAGAATATCTCTGTGTTCGTCTATTGTAGAATTTATTTTCTTGAAACTGTTAAGATTGTATAAAATAGAAAATTGTTTAAGAAAATATTTTAATAGCGCTATATAATCCTTACTTAATAGTGTAGTGATCAATACGTCGTCCATTAAATTCCAATGGTGGTAGCCATGAGATATTGATTGATTTACTTGTTACTGAATCATTATAAATTCTTAAGTCTCTCGGAGCACTTGGAGCTACAAAATTACAATTTCAAATTTTTTTTTTATTCTTAAAATTACACATACATACTATAAATTTCTAAATATACGTACCAGATTCATTTGTACGCTCCGTTAGTGTAGTTATGGGTCCTCTTTTTGTTTTTGAATACATTCGTATTGAGATTGTATAATTTGTGTACGATTTCAGATTAGTTATGTTATAAGAGTAATGTATCACTTGTCCAGATAACGTTATATTGTTACATTTTCCCATGATATTATCACTTGATAATGGGCAGTAGGTAATATTAATGCCTTTAATGATTGAAATACAGACATTATCCAAACTCCATTGTATATGTATATTATTGGAAGATTTCTCCCGTACTTCTGCACTTAGTTCTGTGAGATCACTTAATATATCTGCTGCACATTTAGACCATATCATTCCACTACTATAATTGGGGTAATTAGCTGATACAGCTAAATTAAGAGAGACTTTTTGAGGTGGCGTTGTGTAGTTAGTCTCATTATTATTTACTTTTACAAAATTTATGGTGCCCTATAAAATATAAATTTATTAATTGTAATAAAAAATAAAATTAAACTATATATAAATATATATACCGATGTGTCATTGCAACTTAATTTTTTGTTTTACTAATTTAATAAAAAAATTTGCATGAGTATTAGAATTCAGTATACGCTATTTAAATACTTAATATATAAAAGTCCAGATGTTGTTGTAGTAACCCGCAGGGATATGCTTGTAAATTCACTTTGGGGTGGAGAACGGGACTTAGTCGTTGTGGTTTTGAGTGACTCTGAGATGTAGAGTCGGCCGTTCTTGGAACTTAAAAGTCTAGACTCGTGTATTCAGGGGAATAGTTAAAAATTTTATCCAAGTCGGTAGTAATTGTTGAATTATTGTTATAAATCAACCAGAAAATCTCTAAAGGTATGTTGGATGGGGTGAGAAGAATGTTAGTGGATATATATGTATATAGAAACTTAAAAGTGGAGTAGAAAATAGGAACAAATGCAGCTGAATGAACCTCACCATCTTTGTCGTATTGATTAATAATACGGTTAAACAATAATGTTAAATTTTTTTTGAACAGTAGTACAGATAAACAGATGGGAAACATTAGAATTGATCTACTTTTGGTACGGAAGTTAGTATTAGTTACATGTAGGTAGGCAGTAGGTTAGTGATATCGTTTTTTTTTTAATTAACACGCTTGGGCCAAATTGGGCTGCTGTTATCCCACATGACCACCGCTTGAACATAAACCTTTATAGTGACCTTTTTTATGTGCTGAGTAGGAAGGATTACATGTAAATTGTCTAGAGATATTAGATAAGTGCGTCTCAAAAACATTGTGGGAATGCAAACATGTTCTCTCAAAAAATCCTGTCTGGATATGAAAGGCATATGAAGAGTATAGTAAGTGTCGATATCGTTGAAAATAATAAAAAAAGTATTGTAGAGAGAGAACTCCACTGACGAATTCCCATTTGAATATCCATCTGTGTGGCACGCAATAAGAAATTATTTTGATAGTACCTGCTTTTTGACAACAACCAATTTGGATTTCACATGCAGTTGGAGAAAATAAGATAAAATAAATAAATAATAAATACTTGCCATATATGTAATATTTTTTTAATACTAAAAATACTGATTAATACTAAAAAACTATTAATTCTATTTAAGTACTTACATTGCATTTGTCTTGTTGTTCTCTGGCGGATAAACACCAATAAACTGTATAGTTGGTTGGTAATTCGTTGGGCGTGATCCATTTTAACGTATAAGAATCGTTATGATAAACTGAAGCAACATTACTAGGGTTTCGTAACGTTTCTGCTTCAAAAACACGAATAATTGATTTATCATTAGATTCACCAATTTCATTCCAGGCTGAAACAGTATAAGTACGGCTATCAGTTGTGTTCAAAATTATTTCAGAACTATTAGTGGTCCATTGATTCACACTAAATAAGCAAACGATATAAATAAACTTACACAATTACTAAAAAAATATTATTACTTACAATTTATTACTGGAATATTGATCAATTTCTCGAACGATATAATGAAATGTGGCACCATTTTTTTCATATTTTTCCATATCGTGCCAATATAATTGAGTTGTACTTTGACCAATATAATAACTTCCTATTGCGGTCTTTGGTGCGAAATCCGGTGTTCTTGATTTTGTTTCAAATTTATTTTCAAATGATTTGCTCCACATATTATTTGCATTGAATATATCATCATCAAAACAAATTGAAGAAATTACGTCGTCATTAGGCCTTTTAGCTACCCTAACATGTACTTTAAAATCATATTTATAATAAGCAAACGGCAGGTCTAATTGTACATTAACATTTAATGTTCTATTCCATTGAACAATTTTGTACTGATGCCAATGACGTCCTTCGTATCGTAATAAAATTTCATATTCAAGACCCATTTCTTTATAGAACTCTGTTTGATGTTGATTCCATACTAGCGTTGCACTTTTGTCCGTAATATTTTTAGCTTCAACGTATAATTTTTCAGGCACAACTTAAAAAATAAAAAGCGAGGAGTCGTTATATATTGAAATAGACTTATAAAACATGTTAGGAAATTAATGGCGTAATATCAACAGAAAAGCCCTATGAAGGATTTGAATAAGTTTTGAAGGCAATAAGTTTTACAATATCGCATTATATCACTTTAGGGGCTCTGGAGTATAGTGTATATTCAATGCGTTCCCTTATATAGTATAAAGTTCAAAATTGAAATAGAATGTTGCTAAGGTAAACAAGATTGCTACATAATAGTTGTATTTTAACGAACTACTAAAATTAACATGGACTCTGAACACATGCAACTGGGTCGAATGAAAGTTTTTATAGTTGTGATTCTTACAGAAATTCAGTTACGATGAAGAGGGATTTGTAGACATATACGTTTAGAAAAACAATATAAATATATATTACTTAATTCATTATTAAGTAATATATATTTATATTTATATTAATTCATTAAATATAAGCATGCTTTCTCAATCGTAAATCGCTACAGAAAAGTTAGCTTTAGCAAATAAAGTAACACTAGACTATATTCTGAATCCTTTGATTCATCTTCGTTCAGTATAGATAAATAGTGAATATAAAATATTTGATAAACTATAAATTGATTTAAATTTAAATTTGCTATGTGAATATCATATAATTCTATTAATAAATTGTGCTCGAGTTTTTAGTTTAAACATTTTTTATAAAGAAAAAGTTTGATAATAATTTTCCAATTGGAATAGGTTTATTATATGAAATAAAAATAATTAAGACATAGAATTGATCTTTGCAAGTATGTCTCTTAATGTTGAATATATGACTAAAATCCTCTTTTTCCTTTTTATTATTTAATACATCTATTATTATGTTTATAAAAATAAAGTTTGACAATAATTTTCCAATTGAAATAGGTTTATAATATAAAATAAAAATAATAAAGATATAGAATTGATCTTTGCAAGTATGTCTCTTAGTGTCGAATACATGACTAAAACTCTACTAAATTCTCCTAAATTCACTTAAAATTTATATGATAATAAACATAATAATAGATGGATTAAATAATAAAGAGCAAAAAGTTTTGTACAACTATAATGAACCAAAATGATCGCTTCAACTGCTAAACGTTTTAAATGATGTCAAACCCGAAGAAATAAAAATATTTAAAAAGAAGAAGCATTTAAAATCGTCCATAAATATATGAAACATGATAAACTTTAGTAAATATTTATAATATTTTAAATCATATGAACTCACCATTCTTATATAAATCCAATGAAAAATGTTGAATATTTGTACCCAAGTAATTATTCGACTCCAGCGTAAAATTATAAAATTCTCTTTTCAGACCTATTTTAGATCTATAGCAACAATAAACTGAACTCTCTTTAGGTTCACAGGACTCCATTGGATATTTTGTTGAACGCATATTATCTAATATGTAACTTAAATTATATGTGGTTAAAATATTGTTCTGTGGTTTGTTAAAACTGCATGTGATGTTAATGTAATCGTAATTTCTGCATGTGAAATTTGTCACATTCTGAGGACGTTTACCTAGAAGATAAATAAAAATTTAATATAAAATAATTATAAATAGGTTTAATAAAATATTTATTCAATAAATAAATTTATTTGCCTTTCCTCAGCGAAAATTGAGTAGAAAGTATCTGTATCTTAAAATAAATTGAAATGCAATTTATTTTCAGATGAATTTATGTCCATGCTATTGTTTATATTCTACGAAATTATAAATAAGCTTTTTTAAAAAACATTTATTGCTGGTATCGATTAAATCATGAAATAAACCTTCAATTGTTTATATTAACAACCATTTAGCACATAATAAGTCAGAGCCAGAGATATATTTTTTAAGCATATGTTTTGTCAAATATAGAGGTGTAGATATATAGTATTTATTATGCCTATAAAATAGTATTTTTGTTGCTTACCGAATTAATTTTCAGATATGCATATTTATTTTTAATTAAACATTAATTAAAATTAATTAAAAATTTATATTACACGTGATTTCAAGAAATACAAAATAAGTACAACAATAATAATCACAAAAATAATAGCAATGTACTTATATAAAAACGTTTGCATGGTAGTCTTTTGTGAAAAGTACTATACCATATACATATATACATTATTACAATATATTATAGATTGCCATCTTAAGATTTATTGTGCTCTTTCTACGAATAAGAGCAATTCATATTTCTCAATACACAGTGTTTGCTTTATTCTTTTAAGTTCTAATTCATCATGAGGTGTTGGGTTGCTCTTATCTCTGACATTCACTTCTCAGATATTAGGGTTCCACTTGCTATAGTTAAACTGACAATTATACAATAATACCTGAGCATAGCCAAGCAATTCTAGAAACGCACTAGTCAGCTACTTCAACTAATGCGAAACCTGCTCAACACCACGGTATCTATGCTGACGGTCCACTGCGAAATAGGAAGGCGTAGCTTCCACTGCGAAATACACCCTCGACTTTTGTAGCTTTGAAGATGAGGAGCAACACCTCATGTGTCAGTGCTTCATCTAATGTGTCAGTACCCTTCTTTAGCTAGGAGAAGATCAATAATCTTTGAGACTCCTTTTCTCACACTAGCGAAATTTAAAGCACTGCCAGGTTGGTTTTCCTTTACCTAATCGTTACCTTTTTCGGCGTTGATTATATTCTCATTTTAATCTATGAACGTAGCAATGCTATTTCTTTGGTACCACAATAAGGCATTATTTGAACTCAAGTGAATTTTTTTGGAAACAAAGCCGCCTCTCCAAACTACCTATCTACCTAAGCAAAATGTCATTAATGACTGATTGGGTACGATGTCGTGCAAAGCGTCCGCATTCAAATAAAACTGTGAGTTACTAGCACAGCTACTCTTTTTTTCTATATTTTTTTTTATTTCTAAATTTATTTGTATAGAAATAAATTCGTGCGATCCTAGTGTTTTTATTATTATTCATTTTCTTATTTTCAAATTTTCTATTTTTATTGAAAAAGTGGTAAGATATTCTTCTTTTATTATTTATATATTAATATTAAAAACGTATATTTAATAAACAAAAAACTTTAGGAATTCACTTTTAAATTAATTAATTTCACCCTTCCGTTTATGTTATTTCCCTACGACGGCTCGCGGACAATCTCATCAAAGTCAATTTCTTAATTTGTAAGAATTTAAAACTGATTTAATTTAAATATTAAGTATTTATTATTATGTTGAAGCTGTTTTGTGCTAGTGCACTTAAGCACTTATACCCTTTTTTAACTCGAGGTTTCTTCAAAACCCCTCTCTACACCTTGACTAGATTATTGTTTATCATTTCATCAGACTAAGCAATAATTGACCTCAGATCTGGATACCTCCTCGAGGAGCCTGTAACCATTCTGAGATTTGATAACGCGGTGTTGATAAGTCTGTCAGATTTCGCAAATAATTTCAGGGCTCTATCCTTTATGTATTTACCTTTTGCTCAAAAAGAACTCGGATTTTGTAAATAAAAGACACAAATTTAAATTTTATTCCAAATTTAATTTATCTTCTTCAAAATATGCTCCTTCTGAAGCGATACACATATGGCCCGTGAAGGTATGGCTTTTAGTTCCTTCAGCGAATTCTCTTTTACCGATTCAATCGACTCAAAACGCTTACCACGAATGGACAATTTGAGTTTCGGAAACAGGAAAAAGTCGCACGGATCCAGATCTGGTGAATATGGTGCCTGAGCGATGAACAGCGGTGCCGTGTTTGGTCAAAAAATCGCGTACAACAAGAATTTTCCATAGTAAAAATCGCTAAATGCAATTGAGGTAGTCTCACATTAACAGCTGCTGTAAAGAAACTAATTGACAGATGGCGCTCAAATTTGTACCACTCGTCAAGAAAGGGTGTACCAACAATAAAAAAAGGTCTATTACTTAAGGAGTAGTTAACAAACAATAAAATCCGGATACTTTTTGAGCAGAAGGTATTTATTTGATATTGTGATATCGAAAATAGTAGTCGAATTTAACAATAAAAAATAAATTAAATTTTTATTAAAAATTCTGTTTCATTTTATATTTTTTGAAATACGATCATATTTTTTTTTTGGAAAGATTTAAATATTATTGAAGAATATTCAAAAGAGTATCTCGTCCATATCAAGTGTAAAACAACATATATCATTCGGTATTATCGATATTATGTTTTATTTATTGTTTTGTTTTTATTTGGGATTTGGATTTTTGTGAAGGTTGATTTAACACCAACAAATTTATATAAAAGAAAAATAAATAATATTAATATTTATATACATAATGATATATAAATATAGTTAAACGTTGTAATTAACATTTGAATTTAAATTATGAAACGAGTTTAAGTAAATCAGCACGGCTTAAGGCAAACACAAAGCAATTCCGCAGAATTATTAAAATATTTTTATCATTTATTTTGTTTCAGTTTTACAATAAAAAACAAAAACAAAATAATATTTATGCATCAATTTATACATTTCATATATTATGTATGTATCTTCTATGTGACATTGTTTTCTATCATAGAGTGTGACAGTTTCTATTTGTGGAATTATGGAATTATAAATTCTATTTTTATGTTATCATGTAAGAAATGTAGAAATTTGAAACTGTACACCTTTCAATGTAGGTATAACTGCAATTTACTGTCAACAAATCAGAAACATTCTACATAATACAGAAATACATATACATACATATACATATAGATATGTATATTTGTGTACAAAATAATATTAACAAGAAATGTTATCCGATACATTTTGCAAGTGTTTATTTTATTTTTAAAATTTGCATTTAACAGCTGGAAATGTTTTCAGTAAAGTATCTTTGACATATGTGTGGAATCACAATAAAAGGAGGGCGTTTAACAAAGTTGTCTTGTATTTATTTGGTTGGTTAATATAAGCTGAGTAAGTTAGTGAATCGATGAGTCATAAATAATCACACAAAACAAAATTAGGTGCTTCGCCTAATGCCAAGAGTACGTAGAAAACTATGGTTTCATCAATATTTACATATCAATTTCTACCACGTTTGCATTGATTTCCAAACAGAAGTATTTAAAATTGGTAAGATTTGAATAATGTTGATATAAACAACTCATGACGTTATGTCGAGTTCAACTTAATATTAAATTTTATAATTTTGGCAATATTATATTAATTTATTATCGTAGAAAATTAAATTGAAGTCAAACACACATTGACTTACTTTTCTGTAAGAAGAAATCCATAAAATCTTCTGTTATCATAATTTAGAAAATATCTAGAAAAAAATTTATTAGTAGAGTTTATTTAATAAATACATATTAAGAAAAAAATTAATTTTATTCAAAAGTGTGGCATTTCTTACGATATTAACAAAAAAAAAAAACGGCGGTAAATCCGATTTGATATGGTGTAATTATCATATTTTATTTACATTATAATCTTAACTAATTTAGTTAAATGAATAATTGATTAGTAAGGATTAAGTATCAAGATAGGTTTAATATATTATATAAAGATATGTGAATTTATAAAGTCACACTTTTGTTTTAGTATAAGTTAACATAGCTAACTTCAACACACATAGATAATGTCGAAAAGCAATATAGAGTACCGGAGTTTGCTGCCAGAACAAAATAATACTACATATACTTTACTGCTGAATTATACTGAACTGACTTAACTGGATTAAGTTAGTGTCTCAAATTCACTCCTTGATTGATTTTAGCAACTTTTTTATGGTAAAAACGCATTGCATCAAAGCGGATTTTTATACTAACATCACTCTCATAGGCAAGAAACACTTCTGTTTCTCTACAGTTGGCTAAAGATATATTTTTTTCTGTTGTAATTGTTAAACAAGATTTTAGTCGTTCGTGAATTTAGACATTTTTATAAATGGACATTCGCTCAATTCTGTAATCGTTATAGTGAACGACTACTGCACTTGAATTATCTATATTTGATGCAGAATATTTTATGCACCTAGTGGATGACTATTACACCTGAATTATCTATTATACATTAAACTTTTTGCTACGTATACTGTAAGAAATCTTTAAACCTTCCTGGAATAGTTCTGCTTTCACACCCAAAATAGTTATTTTTTTCCTGACATAGTTCTTTTCAATTAGAACACCCCAAAAACCCACAAAGCTTCAAGAATGCAATCACAATTGTTTAAATTTTCTTCATTGCATTTTTTTGCTATGTACAACCTTTCCTGGTACAGCTGTATTTTTCACAAAAATACAAAAGTTCTTCATAACTTTTTCCAGGAAAGGGTAATTATTTTTTAATCAGAATATTCAAAGTAATTACAATTTAAGAATGGACATGCCCTTAGTACATATACCATGTATACAAGCAATATATGAATAAAAAAAAACCGGTAAAAGATAAATACAACTAGGGAAGAGCATTTGTTAAAGCAGGGCATTTTTACTGATATATGTACTTCTATACAATCTGTTATTGTAAGTAATGGGTACTTGTGGAGGCGTAGAGGAAATGATGTATAAAATTTTTTATAAATGTCAATGAAAGATTTTTAATAATTTATAAATTTTTTAATTATCATTAATATAACTATATATAAGATATAGGCATAATGTTTTTATCTGTAAATTTTAAACTTACTATGGTTGTAAATATATAAAATCTTTCACATAATATTATTGTTAGAAAATTAGTATTTTATTATATTTATTTAATTATATGTTATAATACATACGTGAGTATTTACTACTCACGTGCCTTCTGCCACGTCACCATTGATAGCTATAAATACGCATTTAAAATTTCTCTACTAAGAACTTTGTGAGAGAAGTGTTTAGATCTAATTCTGCTGAATATATGTTAAAATATAAAAATAACTTTTATTATTTTATAAGACTTTTATAAGATTTTTTTTGCATCAAAAATGGTGTAAATGGCCACAGTTACAGTTCGGCACCTTGTACTTATGCCAATTTCGATTGGTAAATCTGAGGTGGTTTTTTCAATCGAGATTCACTTTTAGTGTAAATATCGTTTTCGATTGATAAATGTCGAGTGACTTGTATAATACTTGAAATTAATTTATAACACTCTAGTTCAAACTATTTTTTGACCAAGAATCACTATGATATTTTTGTTTTTCATAGGGACCACAAACTTTAAGAATAATAAACTGTATGATTATTTTAATATGCCTTATACATCTCTAGTATAATGTATAATGAATTGTATAAGTAGATAGGTAGATTATATAGGCTATCAAATAGGTATATAGTATAATTACTTTATAATTTTTTGGCTTATTTTCTAGTAATTAAGGTGTCAGTGCATAAACTACAAGCAATGTATCCATACCTGTTAAATTTCATTCACGTGCAATTTTTTGGGAATCACTACTCTAGTTGTTTTGCTAGAATAGCAAAATTACCCCAAAATTGACAGCTGTTTTACATGGCTTGACAGGTAAAGTGTCATTTGATTCGACATATGTACTTATGAAAAATATTTATGCCCGCTAACAAAAGTACAGCAATGATAGATTACTTTGAAACGTTCGATTGGGCAAGAAAATTTGACAGATCGACTCTCGTCTTAATGAAATGAAATACGGTAACCAACTCTAGTGAATCTCAAGCTTATGGCCAATAAGAAATGAAATTTCTCCGAGTATGCTTTGATCTAATCAATAATCCTTTTGAAGAAAGTGCGCCTAAAACTAATTCCAAGGCATATATAAATGTGTCTTTGTAAGATATATTCTGGTCAATATACAAATTCAGAACCCAGTCTATATTATGTTCAGTCGATAAATCACTTAGTACGATCATGATGACAAATGCAGATCAAAGTGCACTTATAAGCTCTAAACAGTGATGAGTAGTCCTTAAGTGAAAATAAATAAATACGTAAACTGTAAACTTAAAATTTTAAGCTATAAAGTTTAATTCTTAAGCTTGATTACTCAGATTATTATATTCAGAATTATTATTATATTATATTATATTATATTATTTATTATATTATATATATATATATATTTATATATATAATATTATTATATTCAGTAATTATGCAGAAAATATTTTTTGGTTTTTATTTTTAGGTAATTGAAATACGAGTTTTGACACAAATCAAAACTAGTAATTAATTAAATATATTTTATAATACAATAAAAAAAATACATTAAAAACATAAACTAACATAATTAAAAATATAATTTATATTTAAGCATAAAATCAAAAGTTACATACCTATGTAAACTGCACTTGTTCCAATGGCATTCTTCCCAACCATGCACATATATACTTCCACATGTTCACTTGCATTATGGAATGCCAGCACCGCAGTTTGTTTATCCACTATCTATAAAGAAAACATATGAGAAAATAGAAAAACAGATATTTCAGAAAATCAACTCCTTATAAAAAAACAGTTACAATACATAAATCGATCGTGTGTCACATGAGATTGACAAGTTTTTACAATTCTTAAAAGTAATAAAAAAGCAATCGCATTTGTTAAAAAGTCTGTCTGTCTGTCTGTCTTGTGAAGTTTGTAAAGATCTATACTGTATGTAAATGGTTACTCACAAAACTTATATAAGCACACAAAACTTACATAAATAATTGCAAAGAAATTTATAAGTACAGAAAGAAACATAAAAAACAAAAATGAGTTGTGTCAACTTGGCGACTAACCAAGACGTGCACTTCTATGCATGGGAAAAGATAGAGACCACAAGTAAATTCATATTCATGGGCTCGAGCTTAGCACAAAAGTATCTTAGTTATTTATAAGCCATAATTTACTCGTAGGCACCAGAAGTGATTTAAATCAGTTAAAACACATAATGCGAATTCGTTTAAAATGCATGGCAAATGGCAGCCCAAAAGAAATTGATATATGTTCTATTCCCAGAAGCGAGTTTTTTAATATTTTCCACTTCGTCACAATTTATCGTACTTACTGGATTAGATTTGATATAATTTAGCAGCAATTAAAAATTTATAGTGAAATTTGTCTACTTCAGAAATGCAATATAATAAAGTCTACTTTTTATTAACGCAAACAAAGTTAAATCTTCTATATATGTATATAAAAATGAATGTTGTCTGTCTGTCTGTCTGTACTCGATGAATTTAAAAACCATATATCCAATCACCGTAAAAATTTAGGAAATTATTAGGTATATCTCCGGGAAGGCTTTTGCAAATTTTTATTAAAATCACAGTTGGGGTTCTGAAATATAATTTCCAATATCATTTAAAACAATTTAGCAATCCTAGATTGTTAGATTGTGAAAAGTCACTTTGGTTTTTACATTCGTACAGTGTGTTTGGAATAAATATATTAAGTGAAATAGAATAATTAATCTAATTTAATTTTTTAAAATCAGAGGGAAATACGTTTTATTTAACACCACAATTATGCCACCAAAGCGAAGTGCCATGCAAGAAAGAAATCGAGTTCACACTGCTCTTGGTCGATCATTAGAAATGAGTGAGCAAAGCAAGAAAGAGATCGAGTTCACACTGCTCTTGGTCGATCATTAGAAACGAGTGAGTGACACAAAGTTCGCCGTGTCAGCTAGTAATATATAAATATACTTATATCTGTACATATTTTTTACAACTAAAAGTAATATTTAAATGCTACGTATAAGAATTGCTTCAAAGAAAACAAACAAGTAATTTAACATAGTCATCGATTTTCTTATTTGGCAGCCAACGAAAAAGACTCATCATCGTTATATAACATGATCCTAGAAGAACGACTAAAGCATTATCTTTCACTGAAACATATTATGTATATAACATAATATAGTTGTAATATTATAGTAGTAATATAGTAGCCTTGATAGAGAAACGTTGGCAATATAGACATATCCTTCAGTATATCCTTGACCTAATGTTGTCAATTTTTCGTTCTTGAAAGCTAAATAGTAATATAAAAAGAGTTTGATGGTTTCTTCTTTCCCACCACCACAACTACTGTTGTTGTTTTTGAATGTAATACTAACTCTTGGAGTGTGTCACATTGAAGGCAACTAAAAGGATGTCATTCATTTGCATTATCCAATCTGCTTTCTTCTTTGTTTGATCAAACCCTAGTTAATGTCTAAAGCAGTTTTACTCAATAGTTTGGATTATTGAAAACTATTTGGAAACTATTTGTTGGAAACTATTTGGATTATCTATTTTAATTCGAGCTCCGTTGAATTCTGATAATAAGTTATTCTGATAATTTTATAGACGTATACTTTAAAGCACAGCATATATTGTTCAATTATGACCAAACAAGATTTTTTAAGTGGAAACATATTTTTTTTCAATATGTTTTCTACTAAAGGATGTTGAGTCATTTTTAAAGTTAATCTCCCAAATTCCTTTTTTTGCTTGGCCCCTTGGTAATACAGTTTCCCTTAACAACACTGTCGAACTTCTAAGCCATCTCATTTGAATATGATGTTATTGATAGCTGTTTGATAATCAAAGTAATAGTACAAATGCTTTGTAAAAAGCAAGGGATTCTGCTCAAGAGACAAAACAGAAATCAGAAAGTTAAAAATGCTGTTATTTGTTTTTATAACAATGAATAATGACAATATTTATTTTGATAATAACTCCTTCTGGACAGTGTTAATAGGACGGTATGTATACTAGATCTGTAGTACATGGGATCTAAGGTTTAAATTCCACTAAACACGCTGATCAATAAACATTTGATCCAAAAACAGGCTCTAATAAACTTTGAACTTTGAACTAACTTTGAACAAAAGGTTTAGATGCTTTGTCTTAGATTAACTTAACGTGACCTAATTTCCTCATCGCCCAAAGCAGCAGTTTATCTGGCCTCACACAATTTTGTGGAAATTTTCAATCATTAATAAGAAGCCTAATATTGCCTAATGCACTAATGAGGACTCATTAATCACTGATAGGGTCACTGATAGGGTGATAGGCTACTGCGAAGTAATACTAACGTGATCTCGGAGTAAGACAAGATCTATACGAAGGAGAAGGAGAGTGTTAGCTCGAGTCAGGCATTTACTTGCCGAGACATAGGAAAAGCAATTAGGTTGTGTTCAATTTCTGACACTTGTAGCTCAAAAAAATGGTAAAGATTTGTCCATCAGCTTTTGAAATCATTTGATTTAAAACTTTCGATTTGAAAATATTCTTAATGTTTACCTCTATTTTTTGAAATAAAATTCCTTTTTTTCTCTTCATGTCAAAATGAATGAAATTAGCTGCCTAGAGCTTTTGTTTAATGTAAATTTAGGACAATGCTAAAAATTAAAATTTATAAAATTTATTTAAATAAATTTAATTTATTTCATTCCCAATTTCATCAAAAATTATCTGTAAGTAAGAAAATTTTTGACATAAATCTAATATCTAAATCTTTTTTTATATGACAAAAACCTTTATTTCATAAACTCTTTCATTATTTATCTGCACAGGTTAATTAACCATTAAGGTATTTTTACTGAGTTTGAGAAGATCGTGAGAATAATTGAAACATTAAAAAAATAAAAATTCAGCTGAAAAGTCATGAAGTCAAAAAGAACTTTAGATTTTTTATGGTGTAAAATGCATTTAATCTTAAGCAATTCTATCTTTTACATCTGTCCTATCTGTTCAAGTTAATTTCATATTTTAAACCGAATTATGTGCGCTTCTTTGCATCGTCTCATTTTTATCTTGTAGTTATTTATAATAACCTGAATTAGGTAGGATCATTGAGTTTATATATGTACATATAGTTATAGTTAATTTAATTTAAAAATAAAATACTTACAATTACTGGATTTTTGGATTTCTGCGAACTATATTTCTCTTGAAAATAAATATCTCTACTATCCCCGTGCTCTTTATTAACGACACACGTAATATTAAACGAAGCACCTATTTCAGCTTCCACTTTAATCGGCGTTACAACTGCAAAAAAAAATTATTATTTATTTAATTATGTTAATAACAATATATACATATATTGAAAATATATTCTAATACGTATATAGAGGATAATACTTAATATAACTTATAATATACAACTTATTTAATAGTATTTAAATGGATATATTTATATGTCGCTATATAGGTTGAAATCTGTTATCATAGTGAAAATATATATGGGTTATCTCCTTTTTTAGTCAATCAATCAATCAAAACAAGTCTATCTCAGGAATAGCAACAGTGATCAGAGGTTCTTTATATATTTCAAGATAGATATAAAAAAAAAGATTAAAAAAAAATATAGACTTATTTTTAGATATAGATATAAATCTATGCAGTCAGTCCTAACATTGAAGAGTAGTTAAAAAGAAAACATAGTTAATTGAACCTCCATTTGACATAGATGTTAAGCTACTACATATACTTTCTAAAAACCCTCACCGTTTTCAACTGACAGATAGTCATTACAGACCAACTGTCAAAATCTTGCTGAAACCATAGAATACGTCACAAACCTTGCTGAAAGCATAGAACATGTGGTTGATGAATGTCAACTCCTTCAGGTCACCTACCAACTCCTCACAGCATCAAATATGCAATGTGCTCAAGTAGGAATGCAGTAAGAACGCAAATCGTGCAACGCTTTAGATATTTAGAAAAGAAGCACAAAGTACTATTAAAATCCTATAACTATTTACCCAATTTCCAATAAGATCAGTTGAAATAACACAACAGCAATGCTGACAGATGAAAACATACAGACGAAAATTCAACCTGACGCAAGCTCTGTCAGGTCACAGCTGTTTTAAAGCCTACATGTACAGGTTTCACCTAGTACATGATCCCTGGTGTAATGCTTTTCTATAGTTGGAAGAGAACGCAGTACATGTGCTGTTCACTTGTCCAAGATTCGGACATTTGAGAGCGGAGTTAGAAGCAGAGTTATAGACCGGCAACTTGGTACCCTTCATGCATAGTTCGGCATTAAACGGCATCGGCGGTTTCCACTATTTCCTCTCTGATGAGAGAATTGAGAGGGGCTAAACAACTTCGACGGCGGGAAAAACTGTTTCCACAAGCAAGTGGACGGTTACCAGACTAACGATTTTAGCGTCCTGAGCGGACGCAGTCAGATGTATTATCTAACAGTGGCTCCTGAAAGATACGGTAGAAACTCCTACTAACCCTAGACTTTCAAGTTCTTCTCCCATTCAAAAAAAAAAAAAAAAATGTGGTCAACTCAATATTACTAATTGACGACAAGAATCATAACGTTTGAGCTTTATGCTCTGTTCTGTTCTTGTAATCATCGGATATCGCGGTGATATTAGTGGGTTAAAGTCTTACATTTATTTTGGCTTTCAATTAATTTACACCTTGCTAAAAAAATTTATGTAGAGATGAATTTGATTGCTTCCAGATTTTACACACAAAAGACGGACAAGTTTGTGTTAAAAATGCGCATATACATACAAATATATATATGAATAATTTTGTCTAGTTGTTAATCTATTCTGCGCTAATGCACATACGAAACAGGAGATACATACATATATATATATGAATAATTTTGTCTAGTTGTTAATCTATTCTGCGCTAATGCACATACGAAACAGGCTCGTAGGAATGTATATTCTTACAGAAGAGGCAATAAAACTCTATAAAGTAGGTTCTATACTACTTTTTATTGACGCAACAGAGCTTAAAGACCTACTCTAAGACCAGAAGGGGACACAATAGACCCGACGGTCGCAGTGCTACATCACCTAACAATAATAATAATAATCTATTCTACTTAGTTATTTCGGCAATACATTTATACATTACGTATGATTTATACGTTACGTTAAACTGATCAATAGCAGATGTGTGCACGTTGTAGTATCCGAGAATAAATACTGTCTCCTTCACTGCGTATATATATTTTAACTTAACAGGCTGTTATGTGCTAAGCGTTCAAATTAAAAAACCTATATTCTCATTGGTATAATAATAAGTGATTTATGGTTTATTGTATATTTTATTTCAGTTCATGCAATAAAAACCAACTATTGTCAAAGGGCTGTTATAAAAAATTAGATATGATACTATAAAGTCTGCAAAAATCTGAA